ACACACACACACACACACACACACACACACACACACACACACACGCACTTTAATTCCTCAGTTTCACATCAGAGGACTTCCAGTATTTTGTTGTGTTCATGTTTGAGTCCACTGATGCACAAAACCTGCTTAAAAACATTAAAATTCTACAATTTAACGTAGACCAAAATATTTTCACTGACTGACTGAAAGACAGCAGTGTAATGTGATGTATCGGCCCACAAAATAATTCAATAAATAAATGTTGCCTTTTGTTTCMCCACTCAAAAATCCTCGAACATTTTGTTGTTCCATCCTGACTCACTTCTTCACGTCTGTGTTTCAGACGCTCACTTAAAATGGCCAAAGCTTTGCTGCGTTATCGTCTGTGATTTGCTCCTGCAGAGAGGCACGCTTTCAGAGCTGTCAGTCTGAAACTTGGGCCGACACAAAGCAGGCTGACCATCTAATAAACATTTACAAACAGTGGAGTCACTGCAAACACGCTGTTTACGCTGAACCCGCTGCCAATCACGATGTTGCATAGAGTCAAGCGGGCAGGCCTCGGAGAGAAAAGCTACAGAGAGCTGATTAACTGAGACTAAACGTGTGTTATGGAAAGTGCAGACAGAGCTGTGTGGAAACTGTTTGAACGTCTTAAAAGTGCTGAAAGATTCTGAAACCAAATCGCAAAACAAACAAAAAAAAGTTCTGTGCCTATGCATTTCTTGCATTTAATTTTTTACCTCAAATCTGCTGTATAATTATCAAAATTAGCTGTATTAGATMAATCTACCTTTTAAGAATTAAGGTATTAGCATTAAACAGCACACTAACAAAGTAATAGTATCAAAACACTGAAAATTTCATAGGACATGATTAACTTTCATCCATTTCATGTCCGAATTCAAAAGTCATTACTGTCAATTCAGCCCTAATACTCTCAGACAGCACAGTARGAAATGCCAGTCAGTAAAAGTTATATAAGGAAGCAGATTGGATCAAATCTTCCCCCARTCGAAGCGCCATGTTGGCAACAGTGGAAAGGAACGTCTCCCTTTGAACAGGAAGAAASCAGCAGCAGAGGCTCAGGTTGGGGCGGCCGCCTGCCTCGGCCTGCGGGCTTTCAGAGGACAGGAAAGAGACACAAACACAGGGACTGGTGCAGGAAGACAAGCAGAGAACACAAAGTAACAATAATCAGCGCATGTCAAAACACGGAGAGCAGAGCGAGTAAAGACGGCAGCCGAGTGAGGAAATGTGGTCAGTTTGTAAGCCTATAGCGGCGCAGCTAAGGGATAACTCAGGAAACCGTTAACAAACAGGAAAGTCTTAAAGTCAACAGAGTGTCCAACAGGTCAGCRTCATGGACAGAAACTGCAAGTTGCTTCCACAAGAGAGGATCCTGAGAACTGAAAGCTCTGCCTCCCGTTCTGCTTTTACAAACTCTATGAACCACAGGTAAACCTGCAGTCCGACAGCAAGGGGCTCTGTTTGGAAAGTATGAAAATCTTTAACATGAAACGGAGCTCAGTTGAGAGATTTGTATGTCTGAGGCAAGAATTTAAATTTTATGGAGTTCCATTTGTGCCAAAAATATATTGTCGAGTCTTGCTTTATGATTTGAAAACGGGGGGCCGGTTCATTCAGTTGCTTCACGGTCTTAAAGCAGCAGCTATGGACGTATTTTTGTGACCCTGCAGAGAATTTCTCTTTTGATGTGTCCGTGTCCTCTCTCGGAGTCTGCGGGTGCTGACTTTTTAGCTCAGCTTTCCTCCCCTCGGCTGTTTGCAGAGGAGGGCGGGGGAGTCATCGTGTCTGAAAGTCCACAGAAAAAACACATTGTGCCCCCCCCCCCCCCAACTCTATCCCAGACACTTTCTTGTCAAAAATAGACGTTTCACATCGCTTATGTTAAAAGGTGTTAGATTGTAAATCTTAATTTAACAGGATGATGGCTCATATTACCTCTGACCCCAAAACTGCTGTTTTCTGTTCATGTTTCACAGCCTTCAGGGTGGGGGGTGGGTTAAAGAAATCCTCTCACAGAACTAGTTTAGGTGTGATTTCAGAGAGGTTTTGTCGCTCTTTAGGTTATTTTGTTCCTTCATCATGTCTGACCCAGCTCGAGCGTCCGTACAGATTGCTTGAAGCAGGATGTAATGGGAACCAGCCCCCCAGCTCACTGAGGCACACTTCAGCAGGTCACTGACATGAGTGGAGGTGACAAGGACTCAGGATCATTTTACCATTTAGCCCAAAGTTTGGCAGGGTAATTTACATTAGGCTCGGCTCGCATGGCCGAGTGAAGTCCAGGACTTCCTTCGGTCTCTTTGTCACCGCTTCGTATAAACTCCTTCAGAACCATGACGGCGTCGAGACAGCGGAGCCGTTCAGAAACTGCTTTAATGCTCGCAGACTTATTTTTGATACAAATCTTAAACTACAGGTAGCCTATTGTGTTGGGGCTTCATCAGTGTAATTGTGCTAAAATACTTTTAGAAATAGGAAGTTCATCCGTTCTGTAAATCTGAGGCTTTGTAAAGCCTCCTGTAGTTTTTGAAGTTTGTAAAAAGCAACAACTGCTTCCAGATTTCTTTTACTTTTCTCGTTTTCATTTCCTCCTCCTACTGAAAACTTGTCTTTTTCACGTTCAGTTTATTTACATTAGTAATTATACATGCTGTATACGTTCTATTTTGCAAACTTGTATCCTGTACCTGGCAAGGCTGAGCTACTTTATTGTCATGAGAGCCTTTGTTGAGTTGGGTGGATATTTACCCTTTTTTTCTACCTGTACTTGCAAATATAATTTTTTTTTTCACGAGTCGTTTTTTTTAGGGGAAATTTTTGTTGATGAAAATGTTCATGTTGGAATTAGTACGTCATTTCTGACCATTCATTCAGGACATAACTGGACTAAAAATGCATCTGATCTTCCTTTATTGTTTTTTGTTTAACTCCAGTTAAAGATTTAACTGCAAAGTCGCGTTACAGCTGATTGATAGGAAGGGTTTTGTTTTGCGAGTTGGATTAGTGGTTTAGACTGTGTGTTCTGAGATGACTTAACTGGCGCTGCATAAATAAACTGAATTCCATTGTTTTGATGCCACAACAAAAACGTAACATGGAAAAAATTGTGTGTGAGAAACATTTGGACCTGAGCTGCTGAGGAGACATGTGACAAGCAAAGATTACAGATGTGACAAAGTGTGTGAAAAGAACATTTTGAGGTTTGAACTTTTATCAAATTTTACATCCTATCATTTAGCAGAGTTTGTATAACAATTCACAATATTATATTATATTATATATTTGCAGTTTTGTTTGTCAGACATAACTGAGTGGAAGGACACCATGTTTCCGAACATACAAGGCATTTTGCACAGTGTGTGTACATCATCTTCATCACTAAATATGCCCAAATGTTTACATGAAAGCGACAATAATTGTGTGATTTGGTGTTCCAAAAGAAACAAGCTGATCATTTAYAAATAGAAAACATACATTTCTTATGCATTCTTTTGTTTTATTTTCTGTTTTGACCAACGTGTTAACTTCTCCGTGTCACTGTGAGGTGAATAATTTATAGTTTTCCCCTTAAACACAGCGAGCTGACCCCAGTCAGTAAAGATGCAGAGAAGGTGTCCTGTCGCTTTACAGCCAGTTAAATTACACTTTGATGTTACTGCTGCGTTTTCAAATGTGCTGCAGTTAAAGCTGTCCGGTTGAGTTCACTGACTTTATAATACAATCAGATATATGTATGAATTAACAACAACAACAACAATAATAAAGCATTAGTCTTATATAGTGCTTCAAAGATGCTTTACATTATTCATTCACACACACACACATTCACACACTGATGATGGTAAGCTACATTGTAGCCACAGCTGCCCTGATTCAGGTGAAAACACATTTCAGATCTACTTGTTCTGCAGTCAGGTGAAAATATTCTWGAGGACCTTAGTTCTAAGCTTGTAAAGATTTCAGACCTTCATCTGACATCCCTACAGGAGGCAGGTGTGGATATCTGGCTCTCCACTTTGAGGACATTTAAAAACAAGACAACCAATATCCCATTCCTGCCAAAACCCGTCAGTGTTTCTATTTGAATAAACGCCTTTAATCAATGACAGGCTTCATGATTTCGAGCAGCCTGGGAGCTTGTGAGTGCCAGCTAGGCAAACACGATTTAACAAGTGAAGATATTTGTGGTGGGACGAATCTTAGTTGGTCCCTTCAGGCACAATGAGACGAGTCAGAGACACAAGTTCATCTCTGTGTTGGACAGAAAAGCCCGAGTTTCATCAAATCAAAGGGATGGAGTTTATCTGCTCTGATAACATTTAAATTTCAGCAGCTTTGTACAACTTCACCACCTCCTTTTGAGGCTGAGTGGAATAAAGTCGAGCTTTGGCTGAAATTAGACGTTTGTGTCAAGGTTACAGTATGAGAGAGACTATAACACACTGTCAAAATCAGACCTGGGCATCATGATTTAGTTGCTTTTTCATGTCATTTTTATCAAGTATTATAAAAATGCTAACATATGACCTCTAGTTTCTGTTGCTTCTTGTTTTATGTCCCATTTCTATTGGTTTATCCAACAAAAAAAGTTACATTTCTGCTTCAAATCTTAATTTGTGCTACATCATGGGGTTTTATTCAGTATGTATATACACACACATACATACACAACTTTGTACATACCTGGTACTTATGGACAGGGCTGTATCATGAAGTGATTTGTTATTCTGTACTTTCAGAGTACTTAGTACTTACCAGGGTAAGCATGTGATATTTAATGGATACCTTAAACACCCAGTATGTATCACATATGAATCCAATATATAAATACCAGGTATGTACCAGGATGTATTCTGTATTCCTAGTTTTGTTATTAGTTCAAACATATCATTTTGGAACTGCCATCAAATTCATTGAACTAAACAACCTGCTCCTATGGAACAGAAGAGGGTTATAAATAAATAAATAAATAAATCCATTAACTAACATAAATGGAATCCTATAGTRTGAAAATAAAATTGTTCATCTTTGGAAGTAAATGAAATTTCAGTAAATATAGAAATGATCTTAAAAATATTAGTGATAGGTGTAAAAGCAAATAAATCAGCCAGTAGAACTTATCTGAGTAAAYTAAAATGTCATCAGTGCAGCAGAGAGTCAAAGGTCAAATTACACACATCATCTCATATTTGTAAAGTGTTTAATTAAAATGGTGTGTTTGCTTTCAGTTGTTTAGCAGGATTCAGCAGCAGCCAGAAAAAAACCTGCCAGCTCCAAAAAAAAAAAAAAAAAAAAAAAAAAAAAAAAAAAAAACCTGGCAGACACACAGCTGTGGAAATTCATGATCAGAGATTTATTGAAGCCATGAAGAAACTAAAGTGCATGTGATTAAAATCAAGAGAAAGAGATTTTTTTAAAATCTTTTTGGTAGGCTGGAGATAACTCAGCAGCAGTTTAACTGTGACAGCCCTGCTGCCGGGTCACTTATGGACCTCCCAAAACCATGAGAGTCTCATAAACAGCATCTAAACAGAGGGAAAGAGTGGTGTTTATGTGTTTGTTTATGGTGGTTAATAAAGGGCTGTCGCAAATTTTAGCCATCCTCTCTGCTTCCCGACGTAAAGATCCGCCTGCCAACAAACACGCATCACAATAAAATTCACAATAAAATTTCATCACACAGAGCGAGAGGTTTTCTTTGTTTTGCCACCATCAAATCTCATAAATTATAAAACGGATCCTACAAAGAAATCATCAGCTCTGACTGCCCATGCCAGAGGTTGATTACTAAAGTTTAATAGAAAAAAGACTCAAAGTTTGTTTCTAGGTTGTTGTTTTTTTGCCTTTGGTTGAAACTAATTAGATGAAATGAAATATGTGAATTCCCATTAGAATAAAACACATTTGACAGGGCCTCAGATAAGAAAATGTTTTCTTATGGAGGTCTTTTTGGATTTATTATCAAGATTATCTATGGATTTATGCATTTAGACTACCTTCTTGGTATTTTTTTTTTACTAAAAGCCATGTTGAGACAGGAAGTTTAAAAGAGCAGTGAGAGGTTCAACTAAAACTGAGGCTAAACCCACTTGATTCATATAACCTGGTAGTTTAAAAAAACATTTTATCATTGCTTCCGTTTCCCTCACATTTGCCATTTTTGCCAAATTAATTTAATTTGAACAAAAATAATTTCTAAAGCTACCTTTTTTTTGGTCCTCCTTTCGCAGGTAAAGACGGTTCAGGTCTGACAGAGTCTGATTTGGCCCCGGATTCAGATCCACCTGGAATGGACTCCAGATACCTGACAGTGAAGGATCAAGGAGTTAAGGCGGCCTCCGACAGGTCACCGGGCAATGATTTAGCGAGCTCACTGGACAAAACCGAGGGTGTGGAAAGCAACAAAGGCAAGAAGAGGCGCAACCGCACCACCTTCACAAGCTACCAGCTGGAAGAGCTGGAGAAGGTCTTCCAAAAGACGCACTATCCTGARGTTTACGCCCGAGAGCAGCTCGCGCTGAGGACGGACCTGACTGAAGCCCGGGTGCAGGTAACTAACAGGATATTCAAACCATTCAGGGCTTTAAAACGAACAGAAATAAAACAAACATTTATTTTACACCAGTGGGATATGGTGTCGTCGTCCCCCCCCCCCAAACCTCATGCAATCCACATCTTTGTGCAATAAATAATGTTAATAAAAGGTCTCCATCAGAGCAGYACAGGGTTTGAATAACAGCCTCCTTCAGCATCTGCAGCCCTGCAGAGATAAAGTCGCTCGCAGAACAACAGGAGAGATGTATCTGGAAATGTGGGAGTCGACAGAGTGGGGGAGTGGGAGCTTACAYAGGCCAGGGGGCCCAGGGGGGCTCAGGGGGGCTGAGGTTTGAGCTGCCTGGGCCTCATATGTGCAGTTTAAAGAGGGCAGGCTTTCATCAACATGTGACTCCTGCAACTTTATTTATTTATTTATTTAGATTAATAGCTCAAGCGCTTTATCCAGTTTTTCAACTCATAACTGTTCAGTTTGTGTCTACATACAGCCTCCCGTTGACCTTTGGGCTAAATTTGCATAAAAATCAATTATGACTGCTGAAATGCGTTCAGACTTAAGAAAGCAGAGGAAAAGACCTCCACCATTTCTGCAGCGCGTCTCTGTGTGCTGCATGTTGATGAAGACCAAAGCCCTGGGATTTTCTGTGTTTTTCTTTCATTAACATCCTGTTCAGACAAGAATGTGTCCCTGCTGTGGTCTCCAGTAGGTGTGAAACCTTTTTTGTGGGTTTCGATTGGTCGTTGGCTGATATAGGTTTATTTTGAGAATTACTATATTTAAAAATTTTTTTTTTGCTAAAACCCATAAATTAGCTATTTTTGAAATGTGCGTCGGTGGGGATGGGAGAAGGGATCGATCAAAACTATGATCCTCAACACGATGAGTTGGCGCAGTGTGCAGGAAAAAAAAACAGGAAGTCTGCTCAGCTACAGGGTTATAACTCAAGCCCCCCGGTCTCTGAAGGTATGCCGCTCTGCTGTCCGTGCTATCACAGACCTGCCTGCCTCAGATGGATGCAGCTTTACAGCCGTCGGCCCTCCCGGCAGTCCTCTAAAACACTCAAGTTAAAAAGATAAAAGACACAAAATGCCTTGTCAGTCAGAGAAAGGGGTCCAGCATTTTACGCAGGGCATTCACACGCGAAGGGATGGACTCGCAGCTCATCAGCTCGGCATCTGGAGGGAAAAAATGTAAAGAAAAAGGCTGCGCTGCRGATGAAAAGAACACTTTGAAACCCATAGATTTTAGTACAAGTGACTGAGAGGAGTGGAACTTCTGACTTGATGGGTCCGAAACACACAGAGAGGGAAGTTAACAGCAGAGGCCTGGAGTTGTTTGTTTTTTCAGTCTCAGGGTTTCAAAGGAAGAGGCTGAATTCAGATCTGACTCGTATACACTACACGTGAAGGTCAGGGGTCAGGGGTCAAGGGGTTTCAGTAGCATCACATCTCCCAGATCTGCTGTTCTGATAGCTCAGAGAGKCAAGATGGCGTCTGATGTGGAGCTCAGTGAAACACAGGTGTCCACGCGAGCTCGCAGAGAAAAAAACCCTGATTCTGACCCACTGAGAGACAAACACTCAGCTCGTTCTCAGCAGGAATAAAATGTTGGCATTTTGCTATTGTSTGAAAATATGTGAATATACAAAAAGAAATGATTAACGCCCACACATCAAAAAGTACTTTTAAATCAATTTCAATATACATTCAAGTAATTAAAAGATATTTTATATACTTGTTTAATCTTTATCTTAAGTTTTAGACTTTTATTTAAAAATAACTTACTTTTGAATTTTTTTTTGACATTTTGTACAATACACTGTTAGGAACTGGTCAGATTTATCAGTGAGACAAAGTCGGAGGACTTGTTATAAAGTTTTATCTTAAACAGCTGTGCACAATTATTAAAAATAGTTCCAATTATGTGAAAAAATGAAATTGTATACAATTTTTTTTGGCATCAGTCCACTTTCTTTAAGCTGGCAAACGGAAAATTAAAAGATGAAGGATTTTCCTCCATATAATAAAAGTAAACACTTAAGGTGTGTTGGTAAACTGAATCCAGGCTTTATTCGGGGCATTTTCTGTTTTTAAACTCACTTTGGAGTCTGAAATGAGTGACAGCAGAGGCGGGTTATCAATCCTCTGAGCTGTTCTCTCATTTCAAAGTGTTTTCGGCCCTGCGCCGCTCTCCTGCTGGGCCTGGTTTGGCATTTCTCTGCTCGCTCTCTCTGGGGCCCAAACATAAATAAAGCCTCATTGAAAGTCCACCGGCTACTTAAGCTGTCAAGGTCTTTACCAATTACTGTCACAACGCAGTATGTGCAACGCAAAAATATGTTATCCTCGTGTAATGGCCAACAGACTTGGCACGGAGCAAAGACTGAGATGATGGGAGCTGCTGGGCGATGCCTGCAAACACCTGACAAACACATTTTATTGCACAATAAAAAAAATGCAGGCAATCATATGTTTAGATTTTACAGCCTGAGTGCAAAAGAAAGATGTTTAAAACATCAAGAAAAAAAGAAGAATTCTGATCTTGAGCCTGTGTGCTTCCTTAATTTAGAGGGAAACGGTCTCAAAGCCAGAAGATTCAGGCTTCAGGAAATTAAAAGGGGAAAAGGCAAACAAACTCCGGTTATAATCACATCACACTTTTCAATTTCCTCCTCCGCCTCATCAGTGAAGCTTCACATCAAACAGAAACATTTCTCCTCACCTAATTTGTGTCCAGATCAGTAAAAGCTGGTGGCGTTAAACAGATTCAAGCGTTGACAACAAATCTCTAAATTTAGTTAATTTAGTTTATTCGCTGACAAATGTAGAACGGCAAGTAAAGCTCACCGAAAGGAAAAAAAAATATATTTTTAATCAATTTCACATTCTCTAGTAGTGAATCAAAGAAACAAATGATTTCAGAAAACACAGGAAGGTTTAGATGTCAGAGATGATTATAGAAGAGAAAAGGCAGYTGTGGACAGATAAATGAGTTGAGATAAAAGGTATTTCTGTAAGCCTCAAAAAGGAAAAAGTCTGTAATGTGTGGTTTATCTTCAGTTAAGTTGCCCCTAAACTACATTTCTTATGAAAACAAWGGTTCTTATTTGTTTGTTCGGTTTGACCACAGACAATGCTTTACTCTCTTAGAAAGGAATGTCAGCTGTTTTTTTTACTAACTTTATGACGTCTGCTTCTTTTCACTTTGCAGGTTTGGTTCCAGAACCGGAGAGCAAAATGGAGAAAGAGGGAACGCTTCGGTCAGATGCAGCAGGTCCGAACGCACTTCTCCACCACGTACGAGCTGCCGCTTCTGACACGACCCGAGAGCTACGCACAGGTAGAGAGGGTCAACTCTTTTAAAGCGTGTGTCCAAAACGCCCAACAGCTTTTTGTTTGGGAAAGCTGCTGCAGATGAAACCGTTTAGTCTGCAATAAAATCAGATTTAACTCATTTTGAAGTTTTGCAAAAAAAAAAAAGGGGAAAAAAGATGAGGCAAACGCCAAAAGAAAATATGAAGTTTCAGTTGGACACTAGCTAAAATGCTTTTTTTAAGCCAAGAATTTAGAAACACAATTGTTTCTAAATAAAAATATGCATCTTTAGGTTGATGGCATTTACTTTCTGAAATGAACCATTTGTTTCAGTACATTAATGCTTAGATTAAGTTGAGAGGAGGAATATTTCATCTTGAGTTTGGGGGTCAGAAAGCTCACAGAAAGGATGACTGATTGRTCTGTTGTCATTTGTGTATTTTCATTGGATTGACCTTCACCTCTACATTGATGATGATTTGAGACAAAAAGCAGCAGAAAGTTGTTTGATGACTGATTTGGGTTCTGAAATGCTGCTTTTATARAAATGTAAACGACTAATGTTTAAGCAGAAATGTTGCTGAGTCATTCAGAGGCCAGGGAGAGAACAGCAGGGGAACTGCTACATTGTTTTGTCACAGAAACATCAGCAAGGACAGGCTTTAGGTTTTGCCTCAGACCCGTTTCTGATCAGAACTGATCTGTTCGTTTGCCCACAGATCCAGAACCCGTCCTGGATCGGAGGCAGCAGCGCAGCTTCTCCCGTCCCGGGCTGTGTGGTGCCCTGCGACACGATGACTCCCTGTATGACCCCTCACCCCCACTCTGCCAGCGGCGTCTCTGACTTCCTGGGCGTTCCGAGCCCCGGGGGTCACGTTGGACAGCCTCACATGGGCAGCCTGTTTGGAGGGGCCCCCGGCATGGCCGGGGGCATCAACACGTACGATCTCAACATGGACCCCGACCGCAAGTCGTCCAGCATCGCCACTTTGCGCATGAAGGCCAAAGAGCACAGCGCTGCCATTTCTTGGGCGACATGATGTGTTGCTGAGTGCTGGATGGGGGGCGGGGGCTCATGGACACCCAGCATGGAGTGAGGGGCGCTAACATCAAATCTGCACAGGAAACAGTGACTACCATCAAAAAATGCTGCAATAAAGTGAACTTGCAAAATGATTTTGACGTTGGAAATAAGTAACCATACTGCAGGAAGGCAAACACAGTGAAGACAGACATGACGCTACAATGAGTATTACAAACAAATCTATGCACTTATTCAAATACAGGAACTATTCTTACAGTTATGCTGTTTTTTGTTTTGGTGCTGTTTTATTCTGCTTCAGTTCATTTTAAATGGGTTCTGTGATTTCACAAAAAAACCCTCAGCCTGCCATCTTAAAGCAAATTAAATTCAGGTTTGGTCATTTTGTGCTGAACATCTTACTGCTGTCTCATTCAGCACGGACATGAGCTGAGCTGTAATTAAACTGGTGCATCCTCATATCTGACCAACGGGTTAAAATAATCCCAAACACTGATCTAATTCTGATTTCTTGCATTTAAAATATCTAGAGAGGCGAAGTGTAGCTTAGTGATGGAGGTGACAGATCCACCTGCTGCATGAACTCAGCCTGCTGAAGATGAGAACATGTGAGAAGGGCTCAACAGGCCTGCTGCTCTCTGGTTTCTGGATCAAGGAGCCTGGACGCCTCAAATTTAAAAAAATAAAAATTCGGACTCACAGCTCATTAAAAAAGATGTGAACATAATTGTGGCCCTGTGCACTTCTAGTCTTATTGGCTTCAGTGACTGAAGTAAACAGTCTGTTAGTAAAAACAAAACAAGCAGAAGCAGAATTTTGAAACAGAGGGTTGGATTGGGTTTGACACTAAGAATTGAGAGGTTGTCTCACCATAATATTGTTCTTTTTTGAGCATTATGAGGTTTAGCTGTAAGCTGTGCAGTACATGCATCATGCATTTTTATATCCTTTCCCCCCCTAATCACTTCTACAAAAGAAAACCAACAAGAAATGACACATATTATACAAACTCATACCTATTAAAATTCACCATAAATGCTTTAGATATTTTACAGTGAGGCCAACAGATTTGTTCCCTAAAGTTTACATAATTTACTGTGTTTCAGCAGTTTCTCATATTTATTTGGGATTTCACACCAACAATTAGGATGTGATTTTGTGGTGATGTCTGCTAGAAGTGTCAGAACAGTATTCTAAGATGCTTAATATTTAATTTAAATGGTTAAAAACGTGGAAGAAAATTGACACAAACGGCGACAGATCTGGCTGGACTGACTGACAGTGCTTGTTTAAAAAGCTGCCACTGAAATGTGAGCAAATAAACCAATTCAGTGCGAATTTGAATATTTAGAAAATATACCAAAACGCAAATACAAAGAAAACTTTAATAATAAAATAAATGCTGAACACTGATTTTTTTTTTTAGATGGCCGAGTTAAATTAGTTCTTTCAGTTCTCTTCATGGAGTTAAAGAATTTAGATTAAAACAAATCCTTTTCTCTTGAATACATTTGCATGGGTTTGTTTTTCTGGTGAAAGAGCCAGCACCTTTTAGTTAAATATTTAATATTTCTTTCAAAGAAAGTAACATTTTAAAAATCAACCCCACAGCACTGTATGTCATGCTTTACTATTGGGAAGCTGATTGGTTGTCATTTAAAAGTATGACCAAAATTGGTTTGATGACTTTAGTCAATTTTTACAATAATCTTGAGCTTACAGTTCAGTGATGATTCTGAACATTTTTACTGTTTACTTTCCTTCTTGGTAGATCAGAGCAGATCACCCTGAAGTCATCTAAATGACATCAACCGGTTCAAATGTGAAGCATGAGCATGTATAGTACAGAAGACAAACCTCAGAGAGGGGAGGGGGTCTTTACACAAGTGAACATGAGGCCCCCCTGTGTGCTGTGGTCGAGGGGCTGGATGGAGGGTGAGCTGTGAGGGCGCCCGCTGGGTTCCGGTGTTCTGGGAAAAGGACAGTGCACACAGCTGCACACGGGGGGGTTAATGCAAAACAAACATGCCTCACACATGCTTCCCCCTCAGCTGTCATGGCTCTGCTTTCAAAGATTCAGTGACTATCTCTCTCTCTCACACACACACACACACACTGCATCCCTCCCTGCGCTCACTTCCACTGGGTCCGTCGGTCCAAAGCTGCAGCGGCTCAGCTGCAGGGTCCGAGTCACGGCCAGCCCAGGAAGGATTTTTAATTAACTCTGAGCCGTGTGGAGGCTGCAGAGCACAGGATTGTGTGTCAGGATGGACAGGACCGTGTGTCTTCGGTTTCATCAAGATTCTGCACAGGACACACACACACACAGCCACCGAGTTGCTCAGGTTTACAAAACACTCTTTTATATTTTCTAGGAATTTCAGCTTCTGCATTGAAGCACCTCGAATAATAAATGCACTCGTTTTTACAACCTGTACGACTGTCGACGTTACGATAGCTTCATGAAAAACCCTCTCCCCCTGCATTACTTCAGCCTCAAATTATACAACTGTCCGTTTTCTAATACTACTGAAGTCAAGCAATCAGTTTAAAGAGTAAAAGTACGATAATTTAATGTGATGGTGTATTGCTGTTGCATGCAGAAAGGATTGAAGTGTTATAAAACTTATGGAATTGTTACTAATATGTTAGTTTAAATATTTTAAAATATAACTTTTCTTAAAAATTGACTGTTTTTTCCTCTTACGTAATGTTTTGAAAGTTGGTTTTAGGTTTGTGTGGCTTTAAGCTGCTTGTGTTTGTGCTGTTTGTGTGAATAAAGTCCAATAAGTTATTGTTATTTGCTTTTGAGTTGCTTTGTTATGAATCGTTTCATAGTTGTTGAATGTGAAAACAGCAGGTTAAATAAAAATAGTATAATCAGATTTCAAATATTATTAAAAGTAGGGATGCACCAATATGAAAATTTCAGCCGATATCGATATCCAATATAATTATTGCCGTTATGGCCGATAACCGATATTTACCGATATTACACAAACACACAAATTATATTATACATACACACAAAAACACACTTGGGTCTTTTTTTGATACCGTAAATAAATGACCAGACCTCTGACATGGCTCTACTTCAGTTATTCCTGGTTACGCAGCGTCAGTATCACTATCATGATCAAACAGATGCTGCTCAACCAACCATCTCCCCTCRCAAAACAGAAACACAACGCTAAAAAAGTGGGAAATCAATATCGGACATTAATATCGGCCCAATTTTACATATCAGACCGATACCAATATTCTAAAAAATTGCCAACATCGGCCAATACAGATATCAGTACCAATATATCGTGCATCCCTAATTAAAAGGTAATTTAACATTTTCCTAACACTATGCCGAACAAAACAAGTGTAATTTTCATAGAAGAAACTCTAAATCACGTGTCGCCTATTTTTAAAGAATCAGCTAATAACATCAGTTTGCTGCCATTAGCTACAAAGTTAAATACGTTTGTCAAAAACAAACCAAAAAAAAAAAAAAGCACAAATTTGCTCCATCTTGTTGCCACACACACCACTCGGCCAAAAGTCGTCTCATCCCTCCAGTCACGATCTGAAATCCCGGAGCATTCCAGTCCCTTTGAAGGGACACAAGCGCTGAAATGAGATCTCCCAACCCGCGAGAGTGTCACACTAATTGAAGCTGACAAAAATACGAACTGCACCCTTTTGAACTGCTGACACTGAACAGGGAGGATTAGGCCGCGCATATTAACAGCAGGTGACATGCCGCGGAGAACATCGTCACATAAAGTTCTGGATGGTCACAGATGGAGCCGAAGGCCGACATGAAGGAGGAATAAAACTTCTTACATCATCATCTTTCCATCGCACTCACATATGGAAAAAAAACAAGAACTTTATAGAGACATGTTAATATCGTCTTTACTTTCTTATTTACAACTTGATGCATGATCTTATTTTAAATTGAAAGACAATTCACAGATAATGTGAAAATTATATATATATWTTTTTTAAAAAAACACCACAAGGCAATATTGCATTTTAAAGACTGCACACTGCTCATTATTACAGTCTAAATACTGGACATGAAATGAATGGTGACAAAAAGCATAAAACTGGAAATCACAAGTACAAAAAACAATCTATACAAAAGAAATTCTGAATTTTCTATTTAAAAACTCAACATATGGTCAGATGTAAGGCAGTACGCTGATGAAGTGCTCGTAACTGAAATGACTCAGGGAGATGCWTCGAGCAACATAATTACTTATCTTATGCATATAGAGATATAAATACAACAAAATACTTTCTCAGGCTGTATAAAAAAGTACATTTAAAAAAAAAAATCCAGTAGCTCAGATATTTTTTTTGTCAAAAATCAGCAGTTACTCACARTAAATATTAGATTTATGATACCAGATTTGTGTAATAGTTCAAATGTGATTGTGTAACAGAGAGCATTCACAGCACAACATCTGTGAGTCATCACAATCAATCACTGTGTGAATAAAGCCTACATAGATATGTCAGAGTCATCATTCATCTATTTTTACTGTCGTCCTTTTATATAATACAGCTAAAAAATTAAATCAGGTTTATGTCYGCTTTTGAAGAGAACAAAAAAAGGAGTAAAAAAAAGTGTCGGAGAGTCATAAATTAGGACCATCGTACAGCACTGCTGCAAAATATAAATATGTACAACATGGACACTGAATCCAGAGCAGCTGGAGTCTCAAGTGGTCAGCTCCGAAACACTAAGAGCGCTCAGGGATTATCGAACTCTGGATGACCCTCTTCTACACTTCTTGTAACATCAGTGTTTATAAAACGCCTTTTTAATTACCTCACATTTTTCACGTAACAGTATCATCACAAACATTACCTGAAAATTCAAGACTAAGCTATAATTTAAGTGAAATTCCAGGCTGAAATCTAAATGTCGCTTYATGTACAATTTATAGTCTCAGTACCGATGTTGACGTGAAAGATCGTGTCAGTGACCAGATATGAAGTGCTGAGGCTGTGAGAGTGTCCATACTTCTMCTGCAGGCTGGTCAGAGGCTGCCGATGTTGGGGAAGCTCTTCAGCTTCTCTGGAAAGTCGTCTTTGTAGAGGACAGGATCTGCACGGTGTTCCACCACTTTCAAAGGCATCGTTCCAAAAACCGATGCAAACTTGTTGATGCACTCAGACCTAAAGAGGAAGATGTCTTTAAATTTGGATCAAATAGCCTTTTTTTAAATTATTTAATCGTTTGAACTTTATCAAACATTAATTGTACAGTAAATTATGTGCTTACTCACTCAGGTATGACTAATTTGTATRTATGGGTATATAATTTTATTTTTATAC